AGGAAAGAACTTACTAAGAAAATGACTTAGAGAGTGGATAGAAGATAGAAGTCTTTTTATTTTATTTTTTTCTGCTATTGGGTGCCTGTGCTCGCCAGAAAGACAGAGACAGACAGAGAGATAGAATGCGCGAAAGCACCCCCCAGGGGGGATGGCCATGCCGCAATCCCTTCTCCTCTCAGGATCTTGGGCGTGCACGCACACGCACCCAGCATGAGTTTAAGCCACCAGGTCTGGGGCTCAAACTGCGGTTGGCTACATGGGAGTCCAGCGACATAGCCATTACGTTAACTGCTGGTCCCGAAAGTCTTTGTTTTGAAAGAAAGTTTGATTAAGATTACAGAGTAAGTTATTTCAGCAGTGGTTATCTTTTTCTGAAAAAGAGTACAAGTGACTAAAGTAGATTAGAGTGTAAAGGTGGTGTGTTAAGTAGATCAAGTATAAATGTTGATGTCTCCTAGGATGGGCTGAAAAGAGGAAAAAAGGAAAAATTTATAAGCTATTAGAGGTTGATTATATGAAAGAAATTAGAAGGATCTTAGGAATAAAGTGATGTCAACAGTTGTATGCTACAAAAGACAGGTTTCTTGACTGTTGAAGGTTGGATTCAAATAAGGTAGGATAGAATATATGAAGGTACTTTTAAAAGTTTGTGGAAAAACTAAAATAAACTAAATTTATTTGAAGTCAAAACCATTTTGAAATCCATGCATAGTTTTTTCATAATACACATTTTTTGAACCAGCAAATGACATCATGGTTATGTTGCTGGATTCCCATGGAGTTGACCCTGGTTCGAGTCCCAGACCTGGTGGCTTAAATTCAGGTCAGGCGCATGAGCATGTGTACCCAAAATCCCATGAGGAGAACAGAAGAGAAGGAATTGTGGCATGACTATCCCCCTCAGGAGGGTGATTTCTCACTTTCTGTCTCTCTGTCTCTCCAGTGAACACACACACCCTATAGCAAAAATTTCTGTTTTAAAAAAATACACGTTTTTCATAAACTTTGAAGACCATCTTGTATGAACTTTTTTTTTTAAGAGACAATATTTTTTATTATGAAGTAGGTAGAAAAGAAGATTTAATAGGAAAGAGAGGAAGTATACCCAAAAAGCTCTTGGGTGAGCAGATTGTCAGGTGGCAACCACCTGAACTTTTTAAAATACAACACCACTAAGAAAGGTGCCTTGATGTCTACATACTTTTCTTATAAATGTAGTCTTAAAGTGGATTTTGTTCATTTATAGTGTGTTACAGATAAAGGGGAGCTGCATATGTCATTTACCTTACATCGTTATTTTATTCAAGAGGAATCTGAACCTTAGGGAGGTTCAGTATCCTATCCAGCAATACATAGTTCTTAGTGACAGACTGGGACTTGAAGTTAGATAATATAAGACACATTTCAGTACTGTTTCTACTGTAATATCATATCTTTTATTGAATACCATTAAAATAAAATTTTACTTTTGATTCTAAGACCTAAGCTGCTTAGCATGACCTGTTCCTTAGCGTGTAGTAGTTTCTGCAGTGCCATCAACATACATGCTCATGCCATATTTTGTAAATTATAGGGCTATGCTCAATGACCAGCTAGTATACAAGGAAATTATAAATTTGCATATAATTATAGATCATATATATTCTCATTTATTTTGAATGAAGTACAATGCCTTTTTTTTTTTTTTCTAGAGGTTTTTGCTATAGCGCACGTGCGCTCGCAAGACAGAGAAGACATAGAGACAGAAAGCAAGAAATCACCCCCCGGGGGAATGGTCACACCGCAATCCCTTCTCCTCCATTCTCCTCTTAGGATCTTGGGCACGCATGCACATGTGCCCGGTGTGAGTTTTAAGCCACCGGGTCTGGGACGTGAACCGTGGTCGACTACGTGGGAGTCCAGTGACATAACCATTATGCTAACTGCTGGTTCCCACCCAATGCCTTTTTTGAAAAAGGATTTTTTTTTATTGATATAATCACTTACATATGTACTCTCTTTAATGCTATCTTTTCTTCTTTATGCCTTTTAGTGACACTGATTTTCCTTTCCCTTAAAGACATTTTAAACATATTTGATTACTTATGGAAATTAATTGCAAGAGTTGGATATTATTTTATGTTAATATTGTGGTGATAGTTATTAGTTTGAATTTTCTTATTGAAATGAGAGATAAATCGGTTCTAAGATATATTGAATAAATAGATCACATAGATAGTATTAGCTTTATGCGAGTGATGATTACGTGGTCGTACCCTCGTATTACTATTACTTGGTGTATGTACATGCTTGGCAAGTAGTAGGTACTCAAGTTGAGACAGGTTATTTCCATGCGTTGAATTGATTATACTTAATAGTCAATTTTTATAGAATTGCTTTGCCACGTCATTAACAGGCTGACATTGAAAAAAGAAAAAGAAATATATATTTTTTTTGTTTTCTTTTCTTTCTTTTTTTTTTAATTTTGCTATAAAGTCTATGGGCTTTCCTGAGAGAGTATGGGGTGGGGAAAGGGGAGTTGAAAGCATCATTCACACTACAGTTTCTTATCCTCCATTCTCCTATAGATAAGTTGACACTCATGTACCCACATAGCATGTTTCCCAAGCTGCCAAGTCTAGGACTTGAAGCGCACTCAGCCATGTGAGATTCAGACACTTTAACCACCATGTCACTGACTGGCACTGAACACTGTCTCTCTCAGACTATCTCTGGCAAGTGCTTGCACTCTGTTGCAAAAACCTAAAAAGAAAAAAAAAATGATGCTTTTTAAACATTTTATATTGATGATTTTTTTTTCAAGAATTATTTAAGTTTATTTATTACTATTTTTTAAATTTGCTGCAGAGCACCAGAGAGAGAGAGCAAGCTGCCAGGTCTGGGACTTAAACCATAGTTAACCATGTGGGAGTCCAGTTCTTTAACCACCACACCAGCTGCTGACCCCTATATTGATAAATTTTTAAATTATTGGTTAGAATTGAAAGTACATGAAAACTATAACCAAGTTTAATAGATTATTCAGTATGCAGTGTCACTTTGATCATCATTTTGAAGACATTCTTAGTGAAGCTAATGGATTCTATCTAGCAACTGCTTGTTAGTAGAATAGATGTAGAAAATTAGATTGCTTTTCCTAGTTAACCAAGTCCATAATATTGGAGGACAAATCATGTAAACCTTAGCTTTGCTTTGTGTCATGTTCATGTCTTAATGTAGACATTGCCTCTATCTGAGATGACAGGTAGTCACTATCTATTAAGTAAGATAGGGCAGTGAAGTACTAGGAATATGTTAGAATCAAACAGTTCTTTTGTTGTATTCGATTGGATTCTTATTGATATATATTTTGGTTCACCTGATTAGTTTTTATGAACTCACAAAATGCCTTTGAACAAATTCTATGGAGTCATAATTCTACTTGAGTTTGTTCCTTTTAAAGGTGATTGTCTTCCTGTTCTTTCATATGATAAAATAATTTTAACTACCAGTAAAACATTCAGCAGAAAATGGGAAGATACTACTGGTTCAGATATTACTTTTAGAAAATCATTAAGTGTTGAAATAAATTTATATTCAATATTTGTTTAGAAAATAAAATGATGAACTGACTCAGTTATTTAGAATCCTGAAGAATGTAGTTTTTTTTAATATTTTAGTAATAAAATTTGTTGTATCCAGGGATATGATGGATGTTTTCATTTTAACTGAGGGAAAGGTATAGCTACTTCATAATTTAACTAATTATGCCCATGAAGTCAGAGTATCTCAATTTATTGATCTGGTGACTCTTAATATGAATATTATGTGTGAAATAATAAACAGTTTACTTAGTACATGCAGTTTGCATTACTAGATGATCCTTATCCTTAGCACATTATACTTTCTATCATTTAATGATAAACAGAATAAGATTCTTTTACCATAGTCTCTCTAGGTTATCTTAAGAGGTCACTTAACCAATCACCAATGATATTTCTTCATGCTTTAGGTGTTAATAATACATGATATTGGGACCACCACATGGTGTAGCAGTTACGTCACTGGACTCCCATTTGGCCCTCTCACTATCTCTGTCACTTTCTCTCTCTGGTGAGCACGTGTACCCTAAAGTAAAAACCTCTTAAAAATTATATATACATTTATATATATATATATATTTATATATGATATTAGTCTTTAGATAAATTTATTTTTTGAAGTTTAATATTTTAATATTTAGGGGACCAGTAGTGGTGTAGGTTAAGGCGCTGGACTCCCCAGATTCCCAAATAGGCGACCACAGTTCAAATCTTGAATCCTGACGTCTTGAAACTCATACCAGGCACAAGTGCGTGTGTGCCCAAAATCCTGAGATGACAGTGGAAGAGAAGGGATTTTGGCATGGTTTCCCCCCTGGGGAGTGCTTTCTCACTTTCTGTCTCTGTCTCTAAAGTAAGCTCACATGCTCTATCACAAAAATCTCTCAGAAAAAAGAGAAAAGTTTAATATTTAGGATAGTGATAGCCTTTAAGTTAAGAGAATAAGACAAATTGATGTGGTTAAAATATTATTAAGTATAAAAAAAAGATCTTTCCAATATCAGTTTGTTTATCCTTAAATCATGTCTCATCAATATTTATCATGACTTCTTTGGCTGTTGATAACTTGAAATCTTATGCTCAATTTAATTGATAATTTCGTTTGTTTCAAATAAAACAAAATACTTTCCATAAGAACTGACAGGTCTGTCAGGTGGTATGGTGGTTAAGGTACTGGACTCCCGAATGGCTGACTAATAGTTCAAGTCTCAGAGCTGGCAGCTTACTGTATTACTTTCCCCATCTTTCTGACTCTGGACAAACTGAAGAAGAATAATAAATAAAAAGAATGAAATAGTTCTAAAAAAATTTTTAAAAAAGTACTGGCAACTTATCTATGAAACTAAGGGAAAACATAGGAATTTGAAGCTTCAGAACTTAGCTATTGTGTTATCTGTAATATTCTTTTTGTTTTAGAAAATGGAAGTGTTCAAGTTGGAGAATTGTTACCTTGCAAGATTTGTGGAAGAACATTCTTTCCAGTAGCATTAGTAAGTAGACTGTACATTTTTCTTTTGGGGCTTAATAGATCAGTAATTGTTCAGTACTTCGAGACATCTGTCATGAAAAAACTTAAGTGAAGTAATTCAAAGAAATACTAGATAGTGTTTTTTATTCAAGAGTCTCATTTCTGTGTATGTCATTTCCCTCAGTATTTGATTAGTCATCCAAAGGCTTCTATTGAAATGTTAAAATATCCCAAGCTTTGGGGGAATATTACCAAAGCAAACAGATAAAATCATAACAAAACATCTTTTAAGAATGCATAATAAATGTATTTTCAGATTCAAAATGATATGATGTCTGGTATTTGCCTTAAAGTGCTTCAGGAAGAATGAATAGATAAAACAAAATTTCTAACATGCTAGTAATAGTTGAAAAAGGGTGATAAGCAAATGGAAGTTCATTATACAATTCTTTCAGTTCTTATGTATGTTTGAAACATTACAAAAAAGGTTTTTTCCATATAAAATTACACCTAAAATACATAGGTATTCTTTAGATACTTTTATACTTAAACAAATAGAAACACTTTTAAGTGATCTTAAAAATACTAGTTAAATAGGAAATAATACAAATCTTATGTACCTGAAGTATTATAACTTCAAACATCAATATACTTATTAATATTTTGAAATAGGATAATAAATTTTTCTTTAAATATTGATCTGCTGATGGGAGTTCCGCCATAATACTCTTTGCATCTTCTTGTTTCCATTTTTTTTTTTTTTTAAACCAGAGTAAGGAATTAAATGATCCATAAGTGTCTGCCCATCTGTAGACATCTTTTAAAAAATGATGGCTTTTTTTGGGGATCATCAGTTAGTGTAATGGCTGTGTCGCTGGACTCCCATGTAGTTGACTGCAGTTCGCGTCCTGGACCCGGTGGCTTAAAACTCACGCTGGGCGCGTGTGCGTTCGTTTGCAAGATCCCAAGAGGAGAGTAGAGGAGAAGGGATTGTGGTGTGGCCATCCCCCCTGGGGGTGATTTCTCGCTTTCTGTCTCTCTGTCTGTCTGGCAAGCACACATGCCCTATAGCAAAAACCTCTCCAAAAAAAAAAAAGAAGAAAGATGGCTTTTTTTGTAATCATTTGAAAATGTCCAACCAGCAGATGGCATAATGGTTACATTGCTGGACTCCCACATGGACAACCATAGTTCAAGTGCTGGATCTGGTGGCTTAAAATTCACACCAGGTACATGTGCATGCATGCCCAAAGTCCCGGGAAAAGAATAGAGGAGAAGGGATTGCAGCATGACTGTACCCCTAGGGAGATGATTTCTCACTTTCTGTCTCTCCGTCTCTCTTTGTCCATGGAGCACATGTGCCTTATGGTAAAGATCTCTCTCCAAAGGGAACCAGCAGTTAGCGTAATGGCTATGTCGCTGGATTCCCACGTAGTTGACCGCGGTTCGTGTCCCGGACCCGGTGGCTTAAAACTCACGCCGGGCGCATGTGCGTGCGTGCCCAAGATCCCGAGAGGAGAATGGAGGAGAAGGGATTGCAGCGTGACCATCCCCCCTGGGAGGTGATTTCTCGCTTTCTGTCTCTATTGCTCTGTCTGGCAAACGCACGCGCCCTACAGTGAAAATCTCTCCAAAAAGAAAAAAAAAAGGAAAAAGAAAAGAAAATATCTTGCCCACATTAATTCAGTACTTTTTTTCTTATCATTTTACTAGCCTCCAAAGCATTTCCAGAGCATTCAGCTAAGTTTTTCACTGGCAAAAAGAGTGCCTTTTTGGCCTCATTTATTTACTGTTTAATTAAATCATGTACTCATTGTAACAATGGAAACTTGTATAATCAGGTTTGGAAATAAGCACCAGATAGTTGACATACACAGTTCAATTTAGAGGAACAGATGTACATGGGTTGTTAGAAAGTTGCCCACTAGCCAGATTTTTTTTTAATACTTAAGAGATTTTACTCTAATAGCTATAATTATAGTGTTTGTTTGTTGAAAGGAAAGCTGAAAACAAGTATATAAAACAGTTGATTATTAAAAAAAAACAAAACAGTTGATTATTGATTGTGTGATGAAAGCATATGGGGCTCCATAACATCAAGTAAACTAGTTCTGAGGTTTCTGCTTTTTCCAGACAAAGTTTAGCAGTTCCAGCTTCTTGATTGCATATCAAAATACAAAAGAAAAAGTGTCTTTAGCGTACTGAGGTTGTCAGTCAGCAGTCAGGCTATATAGAAAAGTTTAGAATATTTATCCAATAGATTGTTAAGAAAGCTTCTATTTTAACGTGCTTAAAAAGACTGACAGAATGAGTTAGCAAATATGTATTTTAAAAATATTTTTAAAGAATTATTTAATTTTATATATTATTTCTTTTTTCAGCTTGCTGTAGGGCTCTTGCTCACAAGAGACAGAGAGAATGAGAGAGAAAACAAGCTGTCATGTTTGAGACTCGAACCGCAGTCAGCCATATGGGAGTCCAGCACCTTCACCACTACAGCACCTGCTGCTTTGTATTTTTAAAAATTCTGCAGGGGCCAGCCGGTATTGTGATGGATGAGACTCTGGATCCTACATGACCAACCCTCTGGTTTGAATCTCCGACAGCGTGGCTTGAAAAACAGTGCATATGTGCCAAAATCCCAAGACTGATGTGGCCATCCTGATTTCTCACTTTCCCTCACTCACTGTCTTTCTCTGGTGGTTGTATGTACCTTGTGACGAAAATCTAAAAAGAAACTCCACAGGAGTGAAACACTCTAGCTTAAGAAAAAAACCCTAGGTTAAAAAATGTAGAATGTTTGAGTTCCAGAAGGTAGAATTGTGGAGGAAGGACACATATCTGGCCAGTTTGTTGTCTTATTTTAAGTTTATATTAACCTGCTACTATTATGTTAACTTTAGTAATCCAAACTACTGTTACATTAACTTTTATAATCTTAATACTTATGCAAGCATATCCATTTATATTCCTTTTCTAATTTGCATTCAGGTATAAAGACTTGACTTTTTCCTTCAAATACCTTTGACTTATTTACATATGTTTTTTTCTTGGCAATGTGAAAACAAGGAGAGTAACATAAGTAATTCTTGATACAATGTTGGAAGAGTATTTATCTTTCTTTTTGTGAGAACTTATAGTATGCATTATGTACTTTTTAAGTTAAGACAAGGTATGTCTTATTAATTATTATTATTTATTTTATCATCAGATTTTTAAACGAGTCTCAGACAGAAATTTTAAACAAGGTTTTCTAGTCTTGCCTTCTGTAGAAAAGATAATGATACAAATAGTCGAAGTTTAGCCAATCAAAGTCACCAAGTTTTGGTCAATCACACACGGGTGGCCAATTGCTCAAAATAAGGCAAAAGCTGTGCGATCTATTTCTGTACCTCAGTCCCCATTTTATACCTCCTTTCTATTTTCTGTCTATAAATACTCACTGACCATGAGGCAGATGGGAGTTTGTCTGAATTTGTTCTGTTTCTGAGGGCTATCTGATTGAGGAATCATTCTTTGCTCCAATAAATTCCGCTAAGTTTTAAAAAAAATAGAGAAGAAAAGATAATGATGCATTGCATTTCTTTATCTTAACAGAAAAAACATGGGCCCATTTGTCAGAAAACTGCCACTAAAAAACGGAAGACTTTTGATTCAAGCAGACAAAGAGCTGAAGGAACTGATATTCCAACAGTAAAACCTCTTAAACCAAGGGTAATTATAAACCTTTTGAACAATGTTAACCTTGCTATTATATATATTGAAAAAAATTATAAATACCTGTTTTACTAAGATTGAAGAATAAATATAATTTTGTATTATGTTTTCAGTTTAGAAATTATTAGAGGCTTTCTGTAAACGTGAAACCACAGTACTGTCTCAAAATCCAGGTATTGTGAGATTTTGTAGCAATATAGAATCAATTGCTTAGCTGGAAATATTTAAAATAAATACATAAGTACTTACATATTATTGTTCAGTTGTTAATCACTTCACATAATGGAAGTAGTATAATCCTTATATACTATTTACAGACATATGTGCATAATAATTACTGACTATGTTGATAGATTGCTTGCCATTATTTGTATCTATATTATACTTTCTGGAGAAAAGTTTTATACACTGCTTAGTATGCCATCTATAGTTATTGTCAGTTTATTTTCTATTTTGGAACCAAGGCCATGAACCCTCTGTGATAATCTCTAATAATATCTGTGATCATTTGGATAAATCACTTAAATGTTTTTCCTGATACTGTTTTAAAGAATGATTTCAGTAAAATCATTGAAATAGCCTGATTGAATAGGTTTTTGAAACAAAATGATGCTTTCTGTAGTAATAATTTCTTCTAGTGGTATACAACTCCCTATGGGGAAATTAATCTTATAAATACCACCATTTGTAAATGGAAAAACTCAGTGTAACAGTATTATTTTTTATTTTTATTTATTTATTTATTTTTTAGAGAGAGATTTTTGCTCTAGGGCACGTTCGCTTGCCAGAGAGAGAGAGAGAAAGTGAAAAATCATACCCCAGTGGGGATGACTACACCACATTCCCTTCTCCTCCATTCTCTTCTCAAGATTTTGTGCATGCATGCTCACGTGCCTGGTGTGAGTTCAGGTCCGGGACTTGAACTGCAGTTGACTACATGAGAGTCCAGCGATGTAACCATTACACCATCTGCTGGTTCCCTCAGTGTTCTTCTTTGTTTTTCATTTCTAATTATTCAAGGGAAGGATGGTGAAATTTGCATAAAATACATATAGTAGTCCTTCCTTAGCCATAGTTTTGGTTTCCATAGTTTCATATACTTACAGTATATAAAATATTTTTTGAAAGAGAGATCACATTTGCATAACTTTTATCAAAGTATGTCATTATGATAGTTCTTTTTATCTGTTAGTGTTGTTAATCTGTCATTGTGCCTAATTTATAAACTAACTTCGTAATAGGTATATATGCATAAGAAAAATAGTGTAAACAGGCTTGGTACTGTCTGAAATTTTAGGCATCCCCTAGACATCGTGGAGTGTGTCCCCTGCAGATTAGGGGGAACTACTATAAACCAGTAATCAATATTCGAAGTTTTTTTTAGGAACCTTCCAGAGTTGTTATTTTATGAGCTTTAATTAGTTTAAGAGGATACACTAACCAAATCTCTGGAGGTGGTATAACATACTGGGTATAAAAGCTGGCTTGAGAGACTGCCTTGGTTTACCCTGGCTCTGTTACATATTATACGTTAGACAAGTTAAGGAATCTATATTTATGCTATTTATCTGTAAAATGACAATATTAGTATATAATAACTATCTAGTGGTGTTACTGTGGAAACTATGAGATTATCCTTAGTGATCTTTCACGAAATGTTAGTTACCTTATTTCTTTTATATAAGGGAGGTTGTATACTTAAAAATTAGCCTTCATGGAAAAGCAAAGTAAAAACCATTGCTTTCCATTAAATAGTTTATTACCTTGCTAATTAAAGTGTAGTCTATAGAGGAGTAATATCAGTACTACTTAAGTGCTTATTAGAAATGCTGAATCTCAAGTTCCACCTAGATATACTGATTTTGAATCTGTATTTTCAACTGTGTGGTTTCAGTCCTGGACTGGTGGCTTGATAAACATATCAAGTGTGTGTGTGTGTGTGTGTGTGTGTGTGTTTGTGTGTGCACGCATGTGCATGCATGTGTACATGTACATGCCTAAAATCCTGAGTAGAGGGAGAAATGGAGGAGGGATTACAGCATAATTATCTCCCATAGGTATGAGGGTGTTTTCTTAGTTTCCCTTCCTCCCACTTTCTCACTCCCACGAAAAAAAAAAAAAAAAACCACGAATCCTTGGTTTAATAAAATCCTTAGCTGAGTCATATGCTCATTAGTTTGAGAAGCAACATCTTAAAAAGTTTGAACATTATCCTGTAGTTCTTGTATCTTCCCCTGTATTCAGGAACTCCTATAAAATCACAAGTGGAATAGAAGTAAAGCAACTGCAAACTTCATTTATGGAAAAATGAAAGGCAGGTATAATCCACATACTGCTAGATATGTATAGAGCTGTCCAAGGCAATTGAGATTCTGGGGAGGCTACCCACCTAAAGTTAAGTAGTACAGGAAGTTGCTAGGGAACCCATAGCTGAGATCCTGGAATTGCCACCTGAAAGATGAAGGGGTTTCATTTTCAAAGAGATTCCTTAAAGTTAAGAGATCTTATTAAAAACTATATATCGCTTGTTTACTATAGCCAAGGCAGGAATTGAGATATAGGAACTTAGATAGCCAGGATCTAAAATGAACAGGACTGATATACAAAAAAAAAACAGGAAGGAGAACATGAGGAGAGAAGAAACAAAGTTGAGGAAGCCCAGGGTAGAGGTCCTCAGATATTACTAGCAAAAATGCTCTCCCTGATGGTGAGGGTGCACCCTAAAGGGTTTGTGGAAGCTGTGGGAAGTAGGATCACCATCAGTAGCCCTCCTGGGCTCGTATTGTTGTAGAAGTGGAAGAGTCATGTCTGTTTAATCACAGAGAGATCTTATTTATAGGAAGTAGTCTATATCGGGTACAACAAGAGAAGAGAGATGATTTGTGTAATCTGGAAGGTTACCCTAACTCTCCTCTCCCCCAACTCTCTCTGACTCTAAAGTTGTACCAGGAAAATCTAATTCATTCAGAAATGAATAATAAAAAATTAGATAGCTCAGCATCCATACGAAGATGCTGAGAAAAATGGTGGAAAAGAGTCGCATGACTCACAGGTAATTGAATAACCATCGTGGAGCAAATTAATGTTGTGATCTGGCATTTAGCTATAAAATAAGAAACTTTAAAGAGTCAGTCATCTCCAACATCTAAATTCGGTAGTAGTTATTTAAGATTTTTGCAGAACCAGCAGATGGTGTAATGGTTATGCCACTGGACTCCCACATAGTCCACTGCGGTTCAAGTCCCGAACGTGGGAGCTTAAAACTCATGCCAGGTGTGTGTGGGTATGTGCCCAAAATCCTGAGAAGAGAATGGAGAAGGGATTGCAGCCTGGCCATCCCCACTGAAAGAGTGATTTCTCACTTTCTGTCTCTCTGTCTCTCTCTATGTCCTTGGTGAGTACAGAAGCCCTATAGCAAAAATCTCTTTAAAAAAAAAAAAAAAAAAGTTTTTGCATCTATACCCATGAGAGAGGTAGGTCTGTAAGTATTCTTTTTATCAGAGCTTTACTGGTCACGTAAAACTAGTTGTAATGTTATTCCCTTGCTTTTAATTCTTTGAATGAGTTTGTATAAGAGTGATGCTGTTTATTTCTTCAGTGCACTTAAAAATTTAGCAAGCAAGGTATCTTGGCCAAGAAGGTTTTCTTAGTAGCATGTTTTAAAATAATTGTTGTGTTTTAAAAATAAATGTAGGGGAACCAGCAGTTAGCATAATGGCTATGTCGCTGGATTCCCACGTAGTCGACCGCGGTTCGCGTCCTGGACCCGGTGGCTTAGAACTCACGCCGGGCACGTGTTAGTGCATGCCCAAGATCCCTAGAAGAGAATGGAATAGAAGGGATTGCGGCATGACCATCCCCCCTGGGGGGTGATTTCTCGCTTTCTGTCTCTGTGTCTCTCTCTGTCTGTCTGGCGAGCACACACGCCCTGTAGCGAAAACCTCTCAATAAATAAATAAATAAATAAATAAATAAATAAATGTAGGACTATTATGATCATTTTGTCATCTGATATTTGTTTTATTGTTTTTAAAGGAAACAGCTTCTTTGATTTTGTTTATTAAACTTGCTGGCAAAAAGGTTCTTTATAATATTCTTTTTTCCATATTTGTAAGAGCTATATATCATCTACTATTTCCCATTATTGGAAAAATTTCTCCCAATATCATCTTGGGATTTGGGGCATGCATGCATATGTGCTCAGTGTTTTTCAACCAACTGGTTTTGGAATCAAACTCCACAGTTGGCTATGTAGGATCCAGCCACCTTAACCACTGTGCCGCCAACTGGCCCCCTAGTATTTTTAAAGCACCATCTTTTTCATTTTTTACTTTTGCCAGAAGATACTTGTACTCACCAGAGAGAGACAGAGAAAGTACCTCTCATGGAAAATGGTCATTCTACAGACTCTTCCTTTTCTTCCTGATTTTGGGATTTTGAGCATGCATGCCCATGTGCCTGACATGTTTCTCAAGCCATGTCTGGAACTCAAACTGTGCAGTCAGCCGTGTAGTATCTAACTGCCTTGACCAGCACAAGATATCATAGTGGTTATGTCACTAAGCTCCCACATCCCTGACTGTGGTTCGAGTCCTGGACCTGGATGCTTAAAATCATCCTGGGCACATGTATGTACATTCCCCAAGATCCCAGGAGGAGAATGGAGAATGGATACAGTATGGCCAACCCCCCGAGGGTAATCTCTCACTTTTCCCCTCACTGTCTGTCTCTAGCAAGCACATGCACCCTAAAGCAAAAATCTTTAAAATAAATCTCTTATATCACATAAGCCAGCACTGTGGTTAGTTGAAAAACAGTAGATGTAGTCCCAATGAAGTCAAGAGTAAGATTAAACTGCAGCCAATGCGTATCTTAATGCCAGCTGTACATTTAAATTAGAACAAAAAATTAGTTATATAGAGATTATAAAGCAATAATCCATTTGTCATTATTAGGATATATGATACACAGATTGAGATTGCTTCTGATTTTGTACTTTCCTATATTTTGAAATATTCGCAAATACATGAGGAGTTATGGTGAGTATAGGAACCAAGTCTAAACACAGAATTGATGTACATTTCATGTACCCCTTGTACACATAGCTTTATGTTAATTTTATACAATTTTTAAAATAATTTTATACATAAAATGAAGTTTGAATCCATTGAGCCATCAGAAAGCCAAGGTTTTAGGTATGGAATTTTCACTTACAGCACCACGTTGGCACTCAAAAACTTTTAGATTTTGGAGTATTTAGATTTTACATATTCACATTAAGGAGCTCAGACTGTATCTGGACAACTTAAGCAAATCAACTCAAGTTACTAGGGAGTAGAGTATTGAGATACATTACTATAATATATAGAAATTACTAGATGTGATCATTTTCAACATATATCTCCTTGATACATAAAAAAAGTATGTAAAAGAACAGCAGAAAATATTTAAGAATAACTCTTACAATGAAAGTACAAGACTTCCCACAAAAATAATACTTACAAAAAATAATTGAAGGTCACCCCTGTTGTGCAATGGTTAAAAGGATCAAATTCCACATTGCTAACTGTGGCTCGAGTCTTGGCCCTGGTGGCTTCGAAACATACCAGGCTTGTGTTCATGCGTGCCCACAATCTTGACTAGAAAGAGGAATGAAGGAAAAAGGAATATGAAATGACCATGCCCTATTCGGAGATTTTCTCTCTCTCTCTCATTCTCTCTCTCGGTGCACCCTCTACCAATTAAAAAAAAAAAAAAATTAAAAGCCAAAAATTGAAAAGATCCAAGTAAACATTTCTTTGAACAGAAATGTATGCCATGTTCTTATATACGTAGACAGTGTAATAAAAATTGTAAGTTTCCTAAGTTGTTTATAAATATAATTTTTAATTTCTTAATTAACATAAAGTAGTTTTTTTTTTTTCAATTTTATTGCCAGAAGGTGAGTATACTCACCAGGTGGAGAAAGAAAGCACTCCTGAGTCGGACATGATTATGCCCCAGTCTTTTTTCCTCTATTTCTTTATCCCAGAATTTTGGGCACACATATACACACCTGGTGTGTTTTTTAAGTCATTGAGACTGAGTCTCAAACTGCAGTTTGCATGTGGGATCCAGCGCCCAAGGCACAGCACTAAAACACTGTATGAGGCCAACCTGATATAGTAAGTTTTTTGTTTTTGTTTTTTTGTTGTTTTTAATTAGGCAAACTAACTCTAAAGTTCACTTGAGAAAACATACAAGAATGACTAGAAAAAATATTGAAAATGAAGGAAACAAAGTTGGATTACCCTATTGAATATTAAAATATATTTTAAAATCTCAGTATTTAAAACACTGACACAGGGAAAGTCAGAGCAATGTAACAGAAGAGAGAGTACAGAAATAGGCCCAAATCCAAAAGGGAGTTTAGTATATGATGAAGATTAGTTATCTCAGTTCTGGGGAAACCAAAAATGAATGGTGAGATAGCTGCATGGCTTCGTTAAACTAAAATTGAAATCTGTGTCACATTATATACCAAGGTAGTTCTAAATGAATTCATAATTTAAAATTAAAAAATGACACTATGAAAATTGTAGTAGGAAACATGGAAGAACTCTATTTTTCTTGGTGTAAGATTAGGCCTGGCTAACTGTGACAGCAGATCCAGAAGCCATAAAAGAAAAGTTCAGTAAATCAAACTGTATTTTAAAAATAATTCTGCATGGGACCAGGAGATGGTGGTAGTGGTTAAGGCACTGGATTTTCACATAGCTGACCATGTTTCGAGTCCTGGACCCTATGCCTTGAAAATCAAGCGCATGTGTGCCCAAAATCCTAAGAGAAGAATGGAGGAAAAGGGATTGTGATGTTGCTATACCCTCTGGGGAGTGATCTCTCACTTTCCCTCTCTTTGTATTTCTCTGTCTCGTACCAGTGAGCACATGCACCCTGTGACAAAATCTTAAAAAAAAAAAAACAACACTCCACATATCAGTGGATTTATAGGCAAGATCAAAAGGCAGAAGAGAGAGTATAATCTCCTATGAAGAGTTACTAGAAATTAGTAGTTAAGTTAAATAAATTTCAATAGCAATTTAAACCGTTCACAGAAAAGGTAGTACAGATTGTTCCTAATGATATAAAAAGATGCTCAATCTCACTTATTGTAGGAGAGAATCCAATTAAATCCACAGAGAAAGGACTCTTTTTCTCCCTCTGTCTTTTGTTCAAAACCCAAAAGTTTAATAACATGCTATGTTAGAGAAACCATGGGAAAATAGAGAAATATACTTCTAGTAGGAGCATAAATGGATATAGTACCCATGGGAACCAATTGAACAGGGTCCACTACAATTAGAATTGCATTTTTAAAATTACATACAAGATGGACAGATCCCTGTATGGCTGACTTTGCTGGTGGAGTCCTGGACTGGCAGCTTGAAAACTTGTCAGGTACATGTGTGCACATTCCCAAAATCCCAAGAGGAGAATGCAGGAGAAAGGCAACTTGGCCATCCCCCTGGGTGTCAGGGGTGATTTCCTTCTTTCTCTGTCTCTCTCCCTCTCACTTTCTCTCAGCCTCACCAACAAACAAAAAGAAAAAAAAGTTAATTCTGTACAATTAGATAAAGTTTGTTTTTAAATTTGGGAAGAAGACCATTAAAGGATTCTCAATAAGAGAATATTTAAAATAACACTTACATTACCTCAGGTTTTATTTCAATTTATTAAAAGGTTTATACTGGTCTTTTTTTTATTCTTTATTTATAGCCGGAACCACCAAAGAAACCATCTAATTGGAGAAGAAAACACGAAGAATTCATAGCCACCATAAGAGCAGCTAAAGGCCTTGATCAGGCACTTAAAGAGGGTGGAAAACTTCCTCCTCCTCCTCCACCTTCTTATGATCCTGGTATATGAAATATTATTTATTTATATATTCATGAAAACAAAATAATGATACATTTTATAAATTTTAAGTTGTTATTAAACTTTATTATAATAATGGAACTGATGAAACATAATCTTGAAATGCTTTTATATAAAATAATGGTGATAATCCAAGCATCCAGACTTATAAAGACAAATCAGTATACAGCATAGTATTTTTATCTGAATGCTTTTATTTAAAGAAGAAGTGGTATAATAAATATTTTTAAATTACTATAGTAACCATTACATGCTAGTATTCCAGGAAATCATTTAATCTTGCTCACTGTGGATTAGAATGTACTCATTTAGTAAGATTCCTATATTAGTTTGCCTGGTTCTTTAGTATCTTCTCATCTGAGAAGGAAAAAATAAATTTTAATCTACACTACTTGTAAAGTATACAATTCATAAACTGTAATATAGACCGAAAACTTAAATGGTGCCTTAAATTTATATGTTGTTATATTTTCTTCATTGGGCAGCTAAAAGTTACTTGTTGATTATTACCAAACAATAAACTTGTTGAAATAAATTAAGATATTTTGATACTGATAAATTTTTATGTGTGTTTCTAGTGTCTCATTTAATTGGGATTTTTATAATGCCACAAAATTTTTTTCTATAGATTTGTGATTTAATTAAAATTATTTACAGTATACTTTGTGTTTTGGGAGAATATTTTATCTTGGAAGTATTTGCTATTTCTTAAATTTGAATTAAATATTTTTTTTTTGAGAGGTTTTTGCTATAGGGTGCGTGCACTCTCCAGAAAGACAAAGAGAGACAGACAGAAAGCAAGAAATCACCCCCCGGGGGGGATGGCCACACTACAGTCCCTTCTCCATTCTTCTCTCGGGATCTTGGGCACGCATGCACACGCACCTGGCATGAGTTGAAGCCACTGGATCCCAGACTTGAATCGTGGTCGACTACATGAGAGTCCAGTGACATAGCCATTACACCCACTCCTGGTCCCAGAATTAAATATGTTAATAAGGTATATTTTTATCATTTCTTGTGTTGAGATTGCCAAGAGAAAATAAAAACTATTTAAAGTCAATTAAGCTATTTCTTAATGGTTTTTTGAAATAGAAGATTTTATATTAAGCCCATTTCTTAAAACGTATTTTAATGTTACTTGTTATTCCTGTTTGAATAGTCTACCATATAAAATATATATATTCATGATGAAAATAAATGATATTTATATAAAAAGAAATAACAGGTTTATTCTTTTGTATTGAAGATTTTCTTTCATTTATGTTTTTCCTCATTTGATTCAAAGCTAGGAGAAAATCAGGAATTTATCATGTAATAGCAGATATTTTCTTACATATTTAGATATGTTAGGCTCGGTGGTTATATGGGAAATTTTGCTTGTTTGATGTCATTACTTATAATCTTTACTCTTTATAAAAACTAATGTTTTTTATGTCCCATTTCAAGTACTCTACTCTTAATCTGTTTCTGTTTTAGATTATATTCAGTGTCCATATTGCCAGAGGAGATTTAATGAAAATGCGGCTGATAGACATATAAATTTCTGTAAAGAACAGGCAGCACGAATTAGTAATAAAGGGAAATTTCCTACTGATACCAAAGGAAAACCAGCTTCTCGAACACAGGTGAAATGCCCAACTTTAATTATTACTACAAATAAATGAGAAAATGTCTTTCACACTTACAGTTTTGTGTTTATGTTCTATAAGATATTAGCAATAGTTTTCTCACTTGCTAAAATAGAAATATTGTTAAAGGAGCAGTAAGATATTTGAATAGTTAGTTAAGAAAAAAAATTCTTAGAAGTAATTGATTTGAAAGTGACTTCAGCTTATTGAGACTTGCAAATATATTCATATAAAGAGGAAAAAAGTGAAAAAGTAAGTTAAAGATAGGTGAAACAGATGAAGCAGAGGGGTTAGAAGAGTAAGGAAATGGCATTAAAACTCAAAGCTTGAAAGTCATGTAATAAGTACCAAATATTATCATGTTATATTAGTAATATACATGAAGGAAGGAAAACCTTTCTTTTCAGAGTTAATTGCTAGTTTGGAACTTTTAGACAAATAATATTTCATGTATGTAAGCCTTTATTTCTTCATCTATCAAGTGATAACATACTTTACATGTTTGTGAGAAGCAAATGAAATGGTGAGTGTGAAAGCACTTAGCTAACCATAATCTATACTAGGAATTATATTTATTTAATTTTCAGTTGCTCATTGCTAGAATATAAATAGTCCCTGCAATTTTGCTAAATTCAGTGATTATAATAACTTTTTTGTAGATTTCTTAGTAATTTTTCTGTATCTAATTATGTCACCTATTAATAAAAACAGTTTTACTTTCTCCTCTGCAATCTCTATGCCTATTTGTGTTTGTGACTTATTTCACTGGCTAAACCTTTTGGAACATTATTGGATAGAATTAATGGCAGTGAGAAAGAAGTGTATCTCATGGTTTTTGGATGGAAAATTCTATAGATGGCTGTTAAGTCCATTTGATTTATGGTATCATTTAGAACGTTTATCTCTTTACCTATTTTTTGTCTAGATGTTCTGTCCAGAGGGGATAGTGCAGTGTTGAGGTCTCCAACAATTAGTGTGTTGCAGTCTATCTCCCCTTCTAAATCTAACAGTCTTTCATTCACATATTTGGGTGCTCCTGTGTTAGGCACATAGATATTAATAAGCATTATATCTTCTCAATCAATTGACCCTTTTACTACAATATAGTGCCCTTCTTTATCTCTTTGAACAGTTTTTGTTTTAAAGCCTATTTTGTCAGAAATTAGTATTGCAACTCCAGCTCTTTTTTGGTTCCCATTTGCATGGAAAACTTTTTTCCAATCCTTCACTTCCTATGTATGTCTTTATCCATGAAGTGGGTTTCCTGTAGGCAACAGAGAGAGGGTTTCTGTTTTTTAATCCATTCAGCCAGTCTGTGTCTCTTGATTGGAGAATTTAATCCATTACCGTTCACTGTTATCATCCATGTTCCTGCATCTGTCCTGACATTTAAGTTGGCCATTGTCTTAGTTACCTTTTATTCCTTTTTTTCTGGCTGTTACTTCTTTAGTTTTCCTGGAATAGTACTTTCTTCAGGGTTTCTTAGAGAGCTTGCCTGGTGTTGGCAAATTCTTTATTATTGAGAGAAGTTTTTCTGTTATATGTTGTTTTCTCCCCCTCTCTTTTCTGTGAACTAACCAAAGTTACTTTGTTTTAGCAATGGAACATCTGAATAAAATATATTATACTACCATTGATGGGAAACATATTTTAGAAAACCTTTCTCTGAGATGAAATATTTGAATCTGTACTTTCTCAACTTGAGTAATTCAGTGTTAATTAAAAGACTGCTTATTTAATAGAATATAAGCTTTCATCCTTCCAATTTTTTAATAGTAGTAAAATATATGTAACATAAAATTATCATAACCATTTTTAGTATACAGTTCGTGGTATGGGATATATTCATAATGTTATGTAACCCATAATGTTATGTAACCTTCACCACCATCCATCTCTGTAACTTTTTTTTTTCATCTATGTAACTTTTTTTCTTTTAACACCCAAAATTTTATGCCCAGAGAATATGAGCATTTGAACTGCTGGTTTATAATTCATAACCAGAAAGTGTTGATAAAATATTTTATTTTCATTATTTTAGTATAAGCCACCTGCACTTAAAAAGACAAATTCTCCTGGAACCACATCATCAGGATCTTCACGGTTACCACAACCAAGTGGCACTAGCAAAACTGTTGTAGGTAATGAGGTCCATAGAATAACTTACTTTATTTTATTTTTTTTTAGAATTACTTATTTAATTTTATTATTATTATTGTTTTTAATTTGCTATAGTCATGTGCAGTCATGAGAGAGAGCATGAGAGAGAGAGTGAGTTAGAAAGCAAGCTGCCAGGTCTAGGACTCAAATCGTGGTCAGCTACATGGGAGTTCAGTGCCTTAACCACTGTACCACCTTCTGGCTGGCCCTATAGCTTACTTTTTTAAAATAAACCATGTTAGTGATGGAAGTGAAGGTAGTTGTCTATTCTGGATTGTTATAATAGACTTATAATTAAGAAAAAATAAGTAATTCTGTGTAAAAAATAAAATTATTTCTAATAGCTCCTATTTCATATATATCTTTTAAAATTCTTTGATAGATTGTAATTGATGTGTCATCTATTAATAATAGTTTGCCATATTGTTATCTTAATTCTTTGACAATAGTATTTTCCCCTTATTGGTGCTTTATCATCTCATTCCTTTCTGAACATGACAATTAATCTTGACAGTCAAGTATTTAATAGTTTGAAGAATATATTGACCACTGAAGTATACCTTGATTTACATATCAATTGTTTGAAAGAAATTCTGAATTAAAGGATATATATACACATATATATATTATGTATATATATGTTTTATATATATATATATAATTACTATAATATATATATGTATATATATAAATTTCTTAGCTGGTAATTTTTGAGTTATAGCCACAAAAGTATTACTAAAGTATTGCTTTTCTTGTCAGATCCTCTGCTTTATGTGTTTTTTTTCTTTCAGAGTATTGTTATAATTAATGCCTTTTTTATTATAAGGTGTGCCTTCAAGTAAAGTGTCTTCAGTTAACAGCTCTTTAGGAAACAAACTTCAGACTTTATCTCCTTCTCATAAAGGCATAGCAGCCCCTCATGCAGGGTAAGTATACATGGAGTTTATTAGTGGTATGTATTTAAATAATATTAAAGTCTTATTTTGTTTAGATAATTAACATTTTCTTAGTTGAATAATTTTCTTCTGGAAATTTAGACTAAAGAAGCAATATGGAATGTAGAAAGTTTTTAATAATAAACCTAATTTATTAAGTACTATGTATCAGGCACTGTTAGAAATTTTGTATATACTTCATTAAAAGTGGCCCATAACCAAAGAGTTAGAGACTCAGATAGCAAAGTAATTTTCTTGAAGTCACTTATCTGTTAAGAGTTAGAAGCAGGATTTAGATTGGGATCTTTTTGGCTGTAAACATTGAACTTTTCACAAATTTTATCATAACATAAAATTTAAATAAATTTATCAAAATATTTACCTTTGTTAGAATAATGAATTAAGAAAACTCACAAAGGAATATTTTTCAGCCATAAAATATATAATGATTCTGCTATGATAAGAGAAATATATAAGATATAAAACTTCATGTTTAGTTTGATAGAAATTTAAAATATTTGTAGACAAAAAAGATTAAATATGGTGAAATAGTAACTGTGAGTGGTTGATTTCCTTTAATTTATTTTATTTTTTTTTTGTAATTTCTGTTTGCATACGATTTTATATACCTGGCTTTTAATGAGTAGTGTAGTTAAACTTTCAATAATCTATTTTAATGTGGGAAAAATTACTGGTAACACTAGAGTTTTTAATAAGCTAGCTCTTGTTAGAAACTTACCTTCTCTTTCATTTTGATAATTCAGAAAATAGTAGGATTGCCTCAGGTCCATTACAGTGAAGACGTATACCTGTATTTGTTCAAAGACTGAAACAGTGGTTTACGAAAATATAGTACATGTTTTCAAGACTTGGTTTTATGTAGGTCAAATTCACTTTAGTTTTCATGAGAGAAATATTATAAGGGTGTCTGTCAGATAAAAATAAGTATTGTTTCTTAATTCAGACTCCAAGACCTAAAAAGAGGCTAAGGTAACTGTCGTGATAGAAAAGGAAAACAATCAACTAACAAAATCTAAGTTAAATGTTTTTTCTTACTGTGCTTTCAAAAAGAAGAGACAAGCTAGACATAAGAAAAAGGCAGGTAATCAGTACAAAAAGAAAAAGTAAAAAAGCGTCTCATCTTCCAGTGGTAAAAATCTAATTTTGGGGGGGGGCTTTATTGAATTGACTCATTGAATGGTTAAGTTAAATATAGACTTAACAATATGTTTTAATTTTGGAGCCTTTTTACCAAATCACAGGTAATTGCCTTCTAGTTAGGTTATAGTATATATTTGTAGTCTTATTTATAGTTTGATTTACAGTTGATTATGAACTAAAAGCTGATTTTTTTGGTAGTACCTCACCTATTATACCGGTGATTTTATCAGTTGGCAATATTAGGTTGTAGTGTATTCTTTTTTTTTAAAGAATTATTGGGTTGTCAGAAAAGTCTTGACTCATTTTTACTTGGAAAAATACATCATGACTTTTCAGACAACTCTATATTTATTTAATTTTACTTATTATTTTTTTAATTTGACTGAAGAGAGAAAGGGAAAGACAGATGCAAAGTAAGAAAGAAAGCCACCAAGTCTAGGATTCAAACCATGGTAGGCCACGTGGGAGTCCAGTGTCTCAACCACCAACCACCTGCCAGGCCATGGGTAGTACTGTATTCTAAACTAGGGCATATGAAATTGTTTGGTAGAATGTAAAAAGGGTACTGACCTTGGAGTTAGAAAACTAGGCTTCTGTATACTACTGTGCCACTAAATAACTATATGAAATAAAAAAGTCATGACATAAAAATATGTCATGATGACCCAATATATGACTTTGAATATATCATTCTCTCTCTCCTTCAGGTAGTCTTCTCTAACTCTGCTTAGACCTTGAAAACTTATCTAAGAAAATCTGACCAATATTTATATGACCCCACTAAGGGAGAATACTTTTTTATAAATAAGCAGAGATTTTAAGTACAATAATTTTGTGAATTGTTCACTGCTTATAAGAACATGATTAAACATTTTTTATTGTCCCACATCTCTTGAACTGTCAATCATATCTGTTCAAATTCTCACTGCCAATTCTTTGTAAGATCCTTACATGTTAAAGAAGAGTTTCCAGCTGTTGAGAAAGAAACTACTGAAAGTAGTGTTCACTTCTATCCAGTATATATATAACTATAGTAATTGGAATTCTATTATGCTACTATATTAAATTAATACCATTTAGCTTTCTATATAGTTGCAAAGTTTTTCGTTGTTGTTATATAGTATATTTTTATTTTAGAATTACTGAGGTAATAATTTGTTTCCCTTGCCAGATCATAAGCTCCTTGGTGGCAGAGACTATGTATGTAACTACCAAATATAGTAGAATGCCTGATATACCGGCACCCAAATTTTTGGTTACCAAGAGAAAAAATAAAATTAATAAATTAAATCCCTAATCTGTAAACCTGTTAGTACAGCACAGAATTATGGCCTTGCTGCAGGTGAAATACTTGCACTTGGATAGCCAGCATTATTCCATTTATATAGTTGATTCAGTACTGAGTGAAGGTGAAATTAAGACCTCTAACTAATACATATATTCTGTAGGTGTATACTGTAATGTTCAGGAAGTTGAGTATCTGCTAAGATTAGTGAATGACATCATTTCAATGGCTTGCAGTTGTTTAAACCCTGGTGTACCCAATCTTTATATTGTGTTCTACTTTTATCAGGCGTGCTAGTGATCTGTAATATTTAGCATAGATTGAAGTCATGCTAAAGAAAAAAATTATCTTTCTACTTTGAAGAATTCTCATGTGTTTGGTAATTAACTTCTAGATAACCTTTGAGTCAACTTTTATCATTTTTTTAAAGCAAAACATTTACAATGGAAAAATTTTGCTTTATTCTATAAGGTTACGATCTTTAATGCTTAGAAGTTTTAGAAGTATAGTGAAACACTCAGCTTTTAAATACGTATTGCCACTTTTGAATCGGGTCAGTTTACATAGCTGTGCCTGGAGAATTGTGTTTTCTTAACAGTTAATCACCAATTTAAATAGATATTTCAACTAATAATTTTCAATAGATAAAAATACCAATTTTCATAGATTTACTTTTCATCCTCTGAAAAAGTGTTAGTTTACTTTAGAGATTGACTAGTAGATGTGGTAAAAATTAGACCCACAGAATATACATAAAGATCCTGTCTTAATTTAAATGACTGAATTTGGGACTGACTCCAAGGCACAGAGGTACCATGCTGGTCAAGAGAAACTGGATTGCATACGAAGACCAAAGTTCCAATCCCTAGCCATCACACTGAGTACACACATAAGTGCCCAAGATCCAACAGGCTGGAAGACTGGAGGAAGGCTATTACAGCATAATCAGGCCCTATGGAGGTCACTTTTCTCTCTCTCTCTCTCTTGCATGTGCCTTATCTTGAATAAAAAGAAAAAAGGTTAATTGAATTAGGTTTCTCATACTTTATTATATTAAAACTAAGAGATAAAGGTTTAGGTGCATTTAAATATGAATGGAAATACATTTTTATAAGCCAGTGTTTTTTTTTAATTTTTTTTTTTCCTTCAGAAAGGTTTTTGCTGTAGGGCATGTGCACTTGCTGGAAAGAGAAAGAGAGACAGAAAGTGAGAAATCACCCCCCGAGGGGGTGGCCACGCCACAATCCCTTCTCTGTTCTCCTCTGGGGATCTTGGGCACGCACACACATGTGCCTGGCATTAGTTTAAGCCACCGGGTCCAGGACTCAAACTGTGGTTGACTACATGCGGGTACAGCGACAGGCATTACGCCAACTGCTGTTCCTAAAACCAGTCTTTTGATGTTTGTATATTAAGTATGTGTGGAGCATGATTTAGACTTTTATGACCTTTGCTATCTTTTCTTACTGAACTATTGTAGAAGTACCTAAAACAATGTAGAATTGCAGAACTTGGCTTCTTAGGAGTGTAAGCTGTTGGATTAGGGAGCTAAATTTGCCATGGAATTGGAATACTAAATTGTCTGTGGAAGATTAATGTATTTAAGATTATAAGTAGACATATGACATATTTCAAGATTTTGAGTGCCTCAGACCATCAAACATCTTTTTTTTTTTTTGAGAGGGTTTTTTTCACTATAGGGTGCGACGCACACACATGCGCCTGGCATTAGTTTAAGCCACCGGGTCCAGGACTCAAACTGTGGTTGACTACATGCGGGTACAGCGACAGGCATTACGCCAACTGCTGTTCCTAAAACCAGTCTTTTGATGTTTGTATATTAAGTATGTGTGGAGCATGATTTAGACTTTTATGACCTTTGCTATCTTTTCTTACTGAACTATTGTAGAAGTACCTAAAACAATGTAGAATTGCAGAACTTGGCTTCTTAGGAGTGTAAGCTGTTGGATTAGGGAGCTAAATTTGCCATGGAATTGGAATACTAAATTGTCTGTGGAAGATTAATGTATTTAAGATTATAAGTAGACATATGACATATTTCAAGATTTTGAGTGCCTCAGACCATCAAACATCTTTTTTTTTTTTTGAGAGGGTTTTTTTCACTATAGGGTGCGTGCGCTCACCAGACAGAGAGAGACATAGAGACAGAAAGTGAGAAATCACCCCCCAGGGGGGATGGTCACACCGCAATCCCTTCTCCTCCATTCTCCTCCTGGGATCTTGGGCACGCACGCACATGCGCCCGGCATGAGTTTTAAGCCACCGGGTCCGGGACACGAACCGCGGTCGACTACGTGGGAGTCCAGCGACATAGCCATTACGCTAACTGCTAGTTCCCAAACATCTTTTTTTAAAAAAAAGAGTGTGGGGAAAGTTTATATGTATTATATAACATTGTTAGATTTTCTTTCACTATAGCAGATGATGAATTATTACAAAAAGTTAGGAAAAAAATTTAGAAGCATTTACATTAAAAGATCCTTAGTCTTTTTGTTCTATGGTTCCACATAAGATAGGGAAAGGATATGACAGTGCTGGATACACAGATAGATGTCTACAAAGATAGAAAATACAACTTGCTACTTTTTCCCCTATTTTATTTCAGATATCATGTTTTTATAATATCTCAATCTACTATGCTTGCTACAGTTATGCAACATGCCTAATAAACCACACTGAGCAACTTCCTAAGTAGATTAACTCGCATGGCATCAACAATAAATAAGGACCTTTCCTAGATTAAAAGTTTATTTCAAATCAGGAATAGGTTGATGTCATTGCTAAAGTTTTTTTGAAAAATGCTTTTTAAGGCTATGAATATTTCGAAAGTCTGAAAAAATATTACATATGTAAAATCTGGCTTGTTGTGATTTATAAATTTTGTTTTCAATACATAGCGTAACAGTAGCAAATTATAATAGAACATAAGTGATACATAATTTGAGTCCAAAAATAACATTTATTAATTTACTAGCATTTAAGCTAAATAATATGTGAATTGTGTGTACACATACACACACACATGCAAAATTGAATTTTGTATCATAGGTTTATGGTATAAATAATGATTGGACCCTGCCTTTACTTTACTCATATATTTCATGAGCCAAAAAGAAACACCCTTGACTGTGTCTTGCTGTGACATATCCTTCCCTAGCCTTCCAACTGTTATGGATCATAGGTGCTAGTTAGTTTGACAGGATCTTTTTCTTTTTTTTTTTGGAGAGGTTTTTGCTATAGGGCATGTGCGCTCGCCAGACAGACAGAGAGAGACATAGAGACAGAAAGCGAGAAATCACCCCCCAGGGAGGATGGTCACGCCGCAATCCCTTCTCCTCCATTCTCCTCTCAGGATCTTGGGCATGCACACACACGCGCCCGGCGTGAGATTTAAGCCACCGGGTCCGGGACGCGAACCACGGTCTACTACGTGGGAGTCCAGCGACACAGCCATTACACTAACTGCCGGTTCCCAGTTTGACAGGATTTGAACCAAGGGACTCCCGTTCAGTTTCATTATCACACAGCAACGCCTGACTGCTTGTGCTACCAAGGCTGGGCCTGAACCTGCCTTTAATTTAAGTTTTCAAAATCTGAAAATATTGGCAGTTCTCTCTTGTATATAATATTTGTAATATTTCCATTAGATAATTACTTTTAGTTATTAGGTTATGCGCATCTCCTTTCTTACATTGAATGTTGTTTCACATGTAGGATTTAAGTACTTATGATATTAGAATCTGTTTTAAAATGTAGTTTAAAATTTTCTAAATTTAAGTTCCAGTAATTTTTTTCCCCTGGAAAAGAAAGTTAAGGTTTTTAAATTTATTATTCACAGATCTTTGTATAAAATTTTAAAGGTAACTACTTCTCGGAACAATGACACTTTGGTAATTGTTTAATGACTCAAAGAAAAATCTAATTAAAATTTCTTTTTTTTTTTTAATTTTCTTTTTTTGAGAGATTTTTACTATAGGGCACATGTGATCTCTAGAAAGACAGAGACAGAAAGCGAGAAATCACTACCCGGGGTGATGGCCACGCCGCAATCCCTTCTCCTCCATTCTTCTCTCGGGATCTTAGGCACGCATGCACACGCACCCAGCATGAGTTTAAGCCACCGGGTCTGGGACTCGAACAGTGGTCGACTACATGGGAATCCAGTGACATAGCCATTATGCCAACTGCTTGTCCCGAATTAAAATTTCAAATAGGTGAATTTTCCTGTACTCTTTCACAAATTAAAACAGTCACATTTAATCTCAAACATTTTAGAAATTTTGTTATCATATTTAATGAAGGTAGATTTTTTAGACTTTAAATCCTAATATAAACACCACCAGTTGCAGAATATTAACTTTTACAACAAAATGCCTGCTATATATAGGCTACTGAAAGAACATAAAAATGAATTTAAGTTTGTTCCTCCTCAGGGACCCTCATAGCCTAAATAGATTTAAAAAAGTTTTTTCTAGACACCAAGATTCATGAGTACATGTTTCAGGTCTCTCTTAACACTGTATTCCCAAAAATACCACAGTGCCTGACACATAGTAATTTCTTTAAAAAAAAAAAAAATGTCTATTTTATTTATTTATTTTTTTTAAGTTGACCAGAGAGAGACCAAGAGAGAGAAAGGAAAAATGAGAAAGCAAGCCACCAGGTCCAGGACTCGAACTACAGGTGGCCATGTAGGAAGGAGTCCAGCACCTTAACCACCATGCCACATGCTAGCCCCCATAGTAATTTCTTAGTTTACTGAGTCAGTAACTGAAAATATGAATGAGAAAACAAATGTCCCTTACAAAGAATGTACTTTAAAAGGTAACAGTGATATTTTATTCAGTGGTCATTTAAGATAGTTTTCCTAATTTTCCAATTTAATTTTCCTAATCCCACCTGTGAATGAATATCGGTGATGATACCTATGATTCAGTCTGGTTGATAGAAGACTGTGAAGTGTCCTACAGACTTGTAGTTTGTCCTGTTATCCTCTAGATGGAGATCCTATATGCTTTTGGTTAAAAAGAAAAAATAGAAGCTTTCAGAAGCCATGTTACTTAACATTTCTATATGCAATTTTTGTAATTGCCATCTTTATTTTTTCATATTTCACTTTTCTCTACATAAATTTCAGAAATAAACTCATTCTTTTAGAAAATCAGATGTGTTAAGGATGTAATCAATCCTTAACTTATATTTAGAAATGTAAAATGCTGGGGAAAGAATAATAGAGAAGAAAAAGTTGTGAATTCGCAGAATGGAAGAATTAGATTATATGTGAATAACACTTTGCAGTTCACTTCTAACTTCACACATTCTCTTTGAAATGATTACTCCTTTCCTTTGATCAGTTCCATTGCATCATATTTTTATGATGTATGTATGATTTTGGCATTTGTTTGAATGTCATCAAAGCTGGTAGGATGGCCTGTACATTGGAAAGTTTCCTACCTACCAATGAACTTTGTATGAACTTTCTAAGGATTCTTTTTAGCATTAGTTTTTAATATGACAATCAGGTAATTAAGTGCTTGGTGGGTGAATTTCTGATGAATCAGAATGTCTTTTAAAAATTATTTATATAAAGAAACAGTAGCAATCTCCTTATGGGTACACCTTTATATATTTTAATAGTAAGATGGACAAGTTAGGCCCTCCACTTCGAACTGGAAGACATGTGCAAAGGTTGTATGACAGTGATACAAAATCAGACAGTGCCATCAAAAGACATGAGTTATTACCCATTTACAAGTAAGTATTTGTAACTCAGTTTGATTAATCTTTTAAAAATATTTCCTTAAGGGCTTTATATAATAGAATACTATAACTTTTACCTTCCTGTATTAAAAATAAAAAAACTTAAGTTTAACCATTTTTAAGCCAAAGATGCTAAATAATATTTTAGAACTTAAAACATTTTGATATTTTGTGAACATTTCTATTATCCTAAATAAACCTGTTGTTAGGTCATATATTTTATTCCATTAAACATTAATTTTAAGAGAATTTAAATAGCAATCACCTTTAATAATTATTTTTAGGAAGCTTTTTTTAGGGGTGGTAGTTTTTTAAAGATCATAGGAAAAGTTAGGTGCGTATATGTGTGTGTGTGTGTGTGTGTGTGTGTGTATGTGTGTATAAAATATTGCCAAATTATTTTTTAGTCAACCAGTTGATACATTATTATTAAAAAAAAAAGGCAAAAATGTTTTTAGAAATGGTTCAGTATAAGGGGGTCCTCAGTTTGTTTCTTTTTTTTTTTGTTATGCAGTGGTACATAAATTCCACAGAAATGAAAGGGATGTGACACTACATTCTTTATCTGTTCTTTAGCTGACTAAAAAGAGAGTGTGGCAATGCCAGGCATTTTGCAGTTCTGTAGCATGAATCTTCATGGTTTAATAAATTGGGCTGTAACTCTAAGTCTAGTTCTCATTTTAAATGACGTAGTTAGAGCCTAATAAATTCATTTTGATTCAGATTGTAAAATATTAACTTTTAATCAATACCTACTTGAGATTTTGCTTACTATGTATGTATGACAAGTAATAATAAACTTAATAGAAGTACAATTAAAATGAAAGAAGTCTTTAAGAGAGTAGTGGCAATTATGTTGTTTTTAAGTAGTGATAAATCCTAGAAAGAAGATGGTGTTCTGAGCCATTTTTGATTTGTGCAGTTACTAGTGTTATCAGTACCCTGTGTAGTAGATCTCAAATGCATACTGACAGTAAAATAGGTTAAGTACAATTCTAAATTGAAATGTTATTTTATTATTTGTTTCAGTTGTAGCAGCCATATTCCAAATACAATACAGTTAACACTTTTCCGACTGTGGCCAGATAGAAAAATCTGTTGACTGTTAAGAGACTGTATCATGTTCTAAGTACTGATCAAGGCAGACAGTTCCTCCTGTTCTCTTCAGAATGGTCATTGGCATTTAGATTCTACCTTTTATAAGATGTTAATAAATGGGAAAATAATTGGTAGGCATTTAATATGGCAGCTGTTAATTTTCCTCTAAGTAAATAATTTGAACAGCTTTAAATGATCTGTTATTGTGGAACTATAATATGTATGTATATTCATAAGTGCATTAGTATCATCTTTGTATTTCATATACATGTTATATAAAGGTGATAAGATTTCTTGTAAGGCTTTTCTAGAGCCAAAAAGAGGCAGAAAAAAGAGTGTCTTTCCTATTTGAATGCCATTTTTTATAATGGTTTTAGAGATTGTATTTTAGAAAGGCTCTGTAGTCTACCACATCCCTAGAGAGGCTATACTGAAGTACAGTAGAATGAACCCCATGAATGGATGTGGAGTGACTATTTGAAGAGGTCTAGGGCATTCCATCTGTGCACCAAAGTGATTCTGTGCTTATTGAAGTTTAGTGACTACTCAAAGGAACTACCGTTTGAACGACAGGATTGAATATTGTATAGGAAATTTGTAGTACAATCCACTTATATTCAAGTTCAAATACTACTTTGGCCACATAACTTTGCAGTTCACATAATTTCTCTGAAAACAAATTTCTTCAACTTTAAAATGGTAATAACATCTTCTGAGATTTGAGAGAATATTAAGTAAAGTGAAGTATGTGTAGTGCCTGGCTTTATATTTGTCATGTAGTTGGATGTTGGAAAAAATAATAGATACTACTATTGCCTGCAGGAATTTTGGAAATAGCTATATAAAACTTCAAGAAATTCTCTCTAACTTTGCCATCTAAGTAGAATAGGAAAAATTTCAGCCAAAATTTAAGAATTTCTAGTCTAAAGTAATTTTTTAAAAATATTCTGCTTGTTCATATAATACAGCAATGATTGGGACCAGCAGTTAGCGTAATGGCTATATCACTCCCATGCAGTCAACCGCTGTTTGAGTTCCGGACCCGGTGGCTTAAACTCACACCGGGCATGTGTGCATGAGTGCCCAAGATCCCGGGAGGAGAATGGAAGAGAAGGGATTGCAGCGTGGCCATCCCCCTAGGGGGTGATTTTTCACTTTCTGTCTCTCTGTCTCCCTCTGTCTTTCTGGTGCACACCCATGCCCTAAAGCCAAAACCTCTCTAGGAAAAACAAACAAACAAAAAACATTGATTACCTGTGAAATAAAAAGATTTGAATAAATGTCTAAATAAAGGGAGGAAACTAATTGTATTGAACATCCAAACCCAGGTTCTAAAAAATGTTAGCTGTGTTGAGTAGGTTATTAAAGGGCTCAATTATCTCTTCTGTAAAATGAAGTTACGAATCCTTACCTACTTCATAGGATTGCTAGGATCAGTTAAGTTTGCATATGCAAGACAACTAGAAATATATTTGGAATGCAGTAAGCACAGTTATATAAATGTTAACTTGTAAGTATAAGTAGCAGTAGTGATGGTATTATCATCATCTACTATGCTATGTTTATATAAATTGATTTAATGGCTATATCACTCCCATGCAGTCAACCGCTGTTTGAGTTCCGGACCCGGTGGCTTAAACTCACACCGGGCATGTGTGCATGAGTGCCCAAGATCCCGGGAGGAGAATGGAAGAGAAGGGATTGCAGCGTGGCCATCCCCCTAGGGGGTGATTTTTCACTTTCTGTCTCTCTGTCTCCCTCTGTCTTTCTGGTGCACACCCATGCCCTAAAGCCAAAACCTCTCTAGGAAAAACAAACAAACAAAAAACATTGATTACCTGTGAAATAAAAAGATTTGAATAAATGTCTAAATAAAGGGAGGAAACTAATTGTATTGAACATCCAAACCCAGGTTCTAAAAAATGTTAGCTGTGTTGAGTAGGTTATTAAAGGGCTCAATTATCTCTTCTGTAAAATGAAGTTACGAATCCTTACCTACTTCATAGGATTGCTAGGATCAGTTAAGTTTGCATATGCAAGACAACTAGAAATATATTTGGAATGCAGTAAGCACAGTTATATAAATGTTAACTTGTAAGTATAAGTAGCAGTAGTGATGGTATTATCATCATCTACTATGCTATGTTTATATAAATTGATTTTATGTTTATATAAATTGCAGTTTATTTCTATCTCATAACCTTCCTATAAGGTAAGTAATTATTCTATAAATGAGGGAACTCAGACTTGTGTCAACTACTGTCACAAAGCTAATCAGTTGCATTTGGGATTTGAGCTTAGATTCATCTGAATCTGAAGTCTATACTTTTAGAATTATAACACACAATTTAACCTACATTTTCTTTGATTCCTTATTTCAAAATGGGAATTTAGTGATGATCCAACTGAAAGTCTTAATACCTGATAGCCCAGGCTATGCAATTGGTGAATTTAAATATGAGGATGCTATATAAGCCTGTTGATTTTAGTTGCTGTTTCCAAGATGTTTCATAAATTGAATATTATATATTAAAGTGGTTAATTTTTTTTAAATCATATTTTATTTCCTTAGGATAATAAAACTTGTTTAAGGTATTACTGAATGATGTATTTAACAGAACACTTCCATGTTTCAAGAGAACTATAAATTTAGACTTTTTAAAAAAACTTGACAACTTTCTGAATATTATGTATTTTATAAAAGATATGTGTGCATATTTTTATTGATTTTATATATTATCAGGATAGTGTTCATAAGTGCAAAATATTTTGGTTTGTTCTTAGTATTAACAATTATTTGTTCTCAGCTCAAATAATTATTTGGACTTTTAATATTTTGAACTTCTCTCCTAATTACTTTTCTGATTATGCAAATAGGCAACTTGAGAAATGAATGCTTACTGTTTCATACTTTTTTCTTATGCTATCTTTTTTTTCTCTTGTAGAACTAACATCAAATCTCGAAATTCTACGCCACCTAGTTTGGCAAGAAATCCTGCTTCAGGTGTGCTTACAAGCAAAAGAAAAACATATACCGAAAGCTATATAGCCAGGTATGTTTAGCTCTGACATAAAAATGTGTGTGTAAACACACACACACACACACACACACACATATATATATTTTTTTTTTCGAAAATCATATTTTCAAATAATAACAAGTTACTTATAGCAAATCTGATTTTTCATTTGCCGTATGGCTCAGCTTGGCTTTTAAGTTGTACATTAAAGAAATGATTTAGGCATAAAAAATATTGTTCTGTACCTTGTAGTTACAATTACTGTAAATGTTTATAATTTGTTCAGTTCTATTAGATTAATTTGGGATTTTGTTGTCTTAATTTTTACCAAAACATGGTTATTTTCACCTCTACAAATATAACTATACCTGCTTTGAACCAGTACTATTAGAATTTCTAGCAACATTTCAATGTTTGAATCTATCCTCGAAGGTGATTATACATATACTTTCAATTCTTGGGGGTTTTTTTAGAGGATTTTCCCTTATAGTGCATATAATTGACAGAGAGAGAGATGTGAGAGGGAAAGTGAGAAATCATTCCCCAGGCGAGATGGCCACACTGCAATCTATTCTCTTCCACTCTCCTCCTGGGATCTGGCACATATGCAAAGGCGCCCGGGGTGAATTCCAAGCCACGAAGTCCAGGACTCGAACCATAGTTGACCATGTGGGAGTCCAAGGATATAACCGCTACACCGTCTGCTGGCCCCTATATGCTTCCATTTCTAATCTGTCTTGATAATTTACTCAACTTCAGCATTCACTGCTTTTAAACATGATAAATTCGTCTCACTATTTATATGCTTTTTTAATATATCCCAACTAGTTTCAGAAACTTTTAAGACATGGTAAATAAATCCATGAAGTACAGTGAGATACAGTTTTTGTTTTATTTTATTTTTCTGAAATGGAAGAAAAATAGGAAGGAAAAATAAACATAAGCATTAAGGAACTGGCAGATGGGGGAACCAGCAGTTAGCGTAATGGCTATGTCGCTGGACTCCCACGTAGTCGACTGCGGTTCGTGTCCCGGACCCGGTGGCTTAAAACTCACGCCGGGCGCGTGTGCGTGTGTGCCCAAGATCCCGAGAGGAGAATGGATGAGAAGGGATTGCGGCGTGACCATCCCCCCTGGGGGTTGATTTCTCGCTTTCTGTCTCTATGTCTCTCTCTGTCTGTCTGGCGAGCGCACGCGCCCTACAGTGAAAATCTCTCCAAAAAAAAAAAAAAAGGAACTGGCAGATGGTATGGGGATTAAGGTCCCTGGACTCCCACATGGCCAACCATGGTTTGAGTCTGGGACCTGGTGGCTTGCTTTCTCATTTTCCCACCACCCCCTCTTCTCACTCACACTGGTCAAATTAAAAATAAATAAAGTTAAATAAAATAATTCTTCAAAAAAATGAGCATTAAAAAGATACAATAGAGACTAATGGTGGTATAATGGTTAAGACAGCTGACTCTCACATGGCCAACTGCTCAGTTCGAGCCCTAGACCCAGTGTCTTGAAAAACACACTGGGTACATGTGCTTTTGTGCCCAGAAATACTGATAGGAGAATGGAGAATGGACTGTGATGTGACCATCTCCTCTGGAGGATGCTCTCTCTCTGTCTCTGTCTCTGGTGAGCACACATGCACTATAGCAAAAACAAAAACAAAACACAAGATACAATAAAAACAGAACAGTTCAAAAAACAAATGTCACTAGATTCTGTGCATCAGCTAGCCCTGAGCTACCAATTAGGGTGTAAATTTGGTATCAGCCAGTACACATGGGAAAATATTAGTTAAATGATTTATGATATCTAAAATAGAGCCAGTCACCTCTGGAAAAGTATAGATAATCCTGAGGCTTTAAAATTATTTTGTGGAATTTCATAAATGGGACACTGTATGATATAATGGATAACTTATTAATTAATATTCCATTATAAATACAGAAAAGAATTTTATGGAGTGTTTTTTCTTTCCTTTTTTTTTTTTAGGTTTTTGTCATAGGGTGCATGAGCTTGCTGGAGAGGGACAGAGAGAGAGAAAATGAAAAATAATCACCCCCTCGGGGATGCTCATGCTATAATCCTTTTTTCTTCATTCTCCTCCTGGAGTATTGGGCACACATGTACACACACCTGGTGTGGATTTCCAGCAATCAGGACCTAAACTGGAACCATGATCAACCATGTGAGAGCTCAACGACTTAACTACCATGCCAACTAGAGTGTTTTCTTAAGGTGCCCTCTACATAGGGTATAACACGACATCTGTGAATCACCATAAAACAGTTGTGATGTATTAGTGTTAGATGTAAGTTTTAAGGCTCTTCAAAAGGTCATAGAAAATATTAAAATATATTAAAATATTATGAAAAGCTATGCATGATATCAGGATTTATTGCACCAAAATAAATTCACATGTTAATTCTGTTATTCCACAGACTTTTTGAAGACTCCTCCTGTATATATTTTCTGATTTCAGTATAGGTATATAAGATCTGATTGAACCCAGGGATATGTTTTCAGGTCTATAAGATATTAGCTCTCGGGAACCAGCAGTTAACGTAATGGCTATGTCGCTGGACTCCCACGTGGTCGACCGCGGTTCGTGTCCCGGACCCGGTGGCTTAAAACTCACGCCGGGCGCGTGTGCATGCATGCCCAAGATCCCGAGAGGAGAATGGAGGAGAAGGGATTGCAGCGTGACCATCCCCCCTGGGGGGTGATTTCTCGCTTTCTGTCTCTATGTCTCTCTCTGTCTGTCTGGCGAGCGCACGCGCCCTATAGCGAAAAACCTCTCCAAAATATATATATATATATATATTAGCTCTCAATCTTAGTTGCCCATCAGATTCACCTATGGAGTTTCTACAAACGGTCATATCCAGTTCCTTCCTAGAGTTTCAATTTCTTTGATTTGTGGAGTGGGGATTCAGACACTTGCCATTTAAAACACTTAAATAGTATTGGTTCTGCATAACAAGAAAGCCATGGAAGGATAGATGACTATCTTTCTAGCTTGATTTTTTAATAAGTGTTTGTCTGCTGAGGTTTCGATACATGTTAAATATCAAAGAAATAACTGTGTATTTCTTAGAGGTCTGGAGAATAGGTATACTTTATTGGTGTATGTGTGTAGAATTTTGTGTTTTGAATCAAGGCTGAGTATAGAATTAATACTGTATTATGAAACATGTGCAGTAATATACTAGAAGAAAAGGTCATCTTATCTCTCTAAAGTGACGGAAAAAAGAACTGCCAACATACAGGGGCAAAAATCACATTAAGAAATAAGTTTGGGTTATTTACTTATTTATTTAATTAATTTTTTTTAAAGATGATAGCTGATAGGAAGCCCAAAGCCATGCTTATTTACTTCCACTTATCACCTTATCCCAACCATCCCAGATAGAAATGATTATAATCATAGCAGATAGAGATCGCAGAGATTTTTTTTTTTTTAGAAGTATGATAGACTTTGTATCCTTGAAAACCCTTCTACTAAAAACACCTAGAAATATAGGATAAACTAAGACAAACATCCTTTTGAATATAGAGATAAGCTCTCAGGAGCGTAAGGAAAACTTTAACAGTACAGAAATAAAGGAAACTAGGGGTCATATTGGTAAATTAACCCTGACTCTGAAACTGCATTTGAACTTTTGACAGATCTTCATGATCAGGAAGCCTAGGTATTGATGTCATTGTGGGGGAGAGCAGTTGACTTTTTGGACTTTACGGGGTAGAGCACTAGAAGTTCACTTGTTGCTTCTCCTCCACCCAGGCCTCTAACTTCAAGCCAGGACTCTTGAAATGGCCACCAAGGAGCTGTTTTAGACTCAACTACAGAAACTCACATGGCAACATATTATACTTGGCCTTGGGATTATTTACAGAAAGTACAGAATGATAGCAGGGTACCATCAGGCATTTAACTTCCATTGGAGACTGGTTGTAGTCATGGAGCTAGTCTTTGGCCCTCTAAGAGACAGCTTAAGTGTGAGAGAACTAGATTTTATAGGGGACTATTTAGTTAAAAATGCATATTCCAGAAGGAATCATTATCTCTTATTAGAGTCTCATAGACTTCAGCTTTTAGGTTGTCTAAAGGCTGTGTCTAATTTCACTGGATTACCTGTCAACCCTGTTACCTAGAAACATAGCTGGCATTTCATTTTTATTGTATTTTTATTAAACGGCACTAAGATGTTATCCCAACTTCAGATTTGTCCATAGAGGGAAAAATGCTTTCTATAACACTTTTCTCATAGTATTCAAATTGTCTCTTACTGAAAGAGTGGAGTTAGTAAAAATCAGATAGGCATGTGACAATGGAAACCATCAGATACTGCTTATAAAATAAATCCATTTATTTAAAGAAATGAGAGAGGAAATTGGAATTATTAGCAGTGACAGGATAGTATCACAAAAAGATTAGAGTATATTTGTAAGGCAAAATTGTAAGCAGAGGAATTGGTAATTACCAGGTTGTTGGAAAAGTCAGTGCATTTTTACATAGAAAAATATGTCATGACTTTCTGATGACCTAATGTTTAAATAAATCTCTACTAGTCTGAGTGTATATAATATGCCAAAGATAAAACAGAAATAATGAAATGAAAACTATAGTTTTCTAGAAAAAAAGTCTTACTGAAATTGACTTCAAATGAACTAGAAAATAAACAGACTTAAAATCATTGAGGTAATTGAATCCATAATTAACATTAACTACCACTGCTTCCTCATGCACACATATGTACATGCATGAAAAACAGATTTGTAATGTTTTGTTTTGGTAGCTTATGCCAAATACTTCTGGGAGGCAGTGGGGGAGGCAAGAAATTACATTCCTCAGTGCCTTTTTAAAAATAAGTAAAACCTTGCTACACAGACTGATAAGAGAGTAAAATTTTAATCAGCTTTACGTATGAACTTGAAAGTACTTGACAGAAATCCACCAAGAATTTTAGCAAACCTAATCCATAAATACTGGGTTGTCAGGAAAGCCATGACACTTTTTGTTTGTTTGTTTGCTT